TCTCCATAAATCTTTCCATCCTACCCCACATTTCAAAAAATCTCCTTAATTTCTGAAGAAGGCACCTTCTTCCATCTCTCTTCCTCCTCCTCTGCAACAAGATTCTGAGCTGCAATCTGTTGCTGTTCCTGCTGAAGCTCTTGCAGCTCCTCAGTGGTTAGCTCTTCGTTGTGGTCCTCCACCAACTCTTCCACATCCTCCAAACTCACATCCAACACCATGGAACTCCCCAATGCCACAACAGAGTTCACAATTGACATAGGCTCATCAGGGTCAGCCACAAACCCTTCAAAATCCCTCTTGTCGACACAATCTGGCCACAATTTTCTCCAGGCAGAGTTCAAAGTCCTGGTAGTCACTCCCTCCCAACCCTTACCTATAAGGCTTATGCAATGGAGGATACTGAAGTATTCTTTCCAAAAATCTCTTAGGGTCAAGTGAGTGTCTGAGGTCACATTCAAGCAGCTTTGAAATATTGCTTTGGTGTAGAGTTTTTTAAAGTTTGAAATGACCTGCTGGTCCATGGGCTGGAGGAGAGGAGTGGTACTCGGGGGCAAGAACTTTACTGTGATGAACCCAAACTCCTGCAGAATTAGGTCATCCAAGTTTGGAGGATGAGCAGGTGCATTGTCTATTACTAGGAGGCACTTCAGTACTAATTTCTTTTCCAGGAGGTAATTCTTCACACTAGGGCCAAACACTTCATTGGACCACTTGACGAAAATTTCCCTCGTGACCCATGCCTTAATCTTACAGAGACACCAGAAACACCTCTCTGGACAGATTTTTTGTGCGACAGGGGTCCAGTGACTCTCAAGCTGGTCCTAGTGGCATTAAAAGACAAAGAAGAGAAGTAACCACAGAGAGGGACTTGTTATCTGAAGTCATTATGGAGGGGGATTCTCCTTCCAAACAATAATTCTCCCTCTCTCCTCCTCCCTATCTTCCATAAGCCAAGAAGAGTCTTCAATAAAGGTATGCAATACAGGTCCGCCATCACAAATCCGGCAATCAGTTATTTGGCTCCTTCAGTTATTTGGCACTAATTTCAGCTAGCATAATTTCAAATTTCCAGGGTCGCCACACCAGCCTGCTGGTACTGTTTGGTGGCGCTACTTGCTGCATAAGTCATGCTAATTTATTTTTCTCCATTAATTGTTATAACCTGCTTACTTTTAGCCCTAGCCATGATTCCAATGAATAAAAGAAATGCTTTTTGTTGTGTAAAGCACCTACACAGTACATAGTCCATTAAAGATAAGGTGGCTTTGAAGCCACTGTCGGTTGCTATGAGCTCAGTTTCGTGATGCAGGAGAATATGCTTTATTATTACGCTAATATCAACACTACAGCTTATTGCCTATCATAGTTGATCTAATATGACATAATAAACAATATAAATAGCATAAAACATGTTAAATACTCCAGAATAAATAATATTTGGCATAATACCGAGCAGTTCGACGGAGGTATGAAGAGGATACGAGATACAAGTACCATTCTCCTATCCCTGTCTTGGGGCTTATATGTATTAGAGAAAAAGGAGTGTAGCACAGGGCTAACTGTGATATACACTCGTACTGCACCATAAACCTGAAACAAAAAAGCTGTTTTCTCTATATAGATTAATACACATAGCAGCATATGTGTAGAGAACCTAGGATAACCCAAAAAAGTCAGACAATGTGGCTTATTTCTAGTACCTGGCTTGGGTTAGCCATATATGATTTTTGGTAAATATTCGATTCCCAGTCAGGGTAGAAACACTGGGCGTTTCTTTACACCTGTTGTCTATGTTCACCCATCAGTAAATGGGTACCTGGGTGTTAATTGGCTGGTGTGGGTGTTATCCTGGGACACTGACCTAATTTGCTTGAAATACTCAGCATAACAAGCGGCTTTCTATATAGTAGTATGTCACTGATGTCAGCTATGTCTGTATCCCATGTACATGTATGTGAAGTAAATTATTTTTTTATTATTATTAACACACTGGCTGATTCCCACCAAGGCAGGGTGGCCCGAAAAACAAAAACTTTCACCATCATTCACTCCATCACTGTCTTGCCAGAAGGATGCTTTATACTACAGTTTTTAAACTGCAACATTAACACCCCTCCTTCAGAGTGTAGGCACTGTACTTCCCATCTCCAGGACTCAAGTCCGGCCTGCCGGTTTCCCTGAATCCTTTCATAAATGCTACTTTGCTCACACTCCAACAGTACGTCAAGTATTAAAAATCATTTGTCTCCACTCCTATCAAACACGCTCACGCATGCCCGCTGGAAGTCCAAGCCCTTCGCACACAAAACCTCCTTTACCCCCTCCCTCCAACCTTTCCTAGGCCGACCCCTACCCCGCCTTCCTTCCACTACAGACTGATACACTCTTGAAGTCATTCTGTTTCGCTCCATTCTCTCTACATGTCCGAACCACCTCAACAACCCTTCCTCAGCCCTCTGGACAACAGTTTTGGCAATCCTGCACCTCCTCCTAACTTCCAAACTACGAATTCTCTGCATTATATTCACACCACACATTGCCCTCAGACATGACATCTCCACTGCCTCCAGCCTTCTCCTCGCTGCAACATTCATCATCCATGCTTCACACCCATATAAGAATAAGAGCATTGGTAAAACTACACTCTCATACATTCCCCTCTTTACCTCCAAGGACAAAGTTCTTTGTCTCCACAGACTCCTCAGTGCACCGCTCACCCTTTTCCCCTCATCAATTCTATGATTCACCTCATCTTTCATAGACCCATCTGCTGACACGTCCACTCCCAAATATCTGAATACATTCGTCTCCTCCATACTCTCTCCCTTCAATCTGATATCCAATCTTTCATCACCTAATCTTTTTGTTATCCTCATAACCTTACTCTATCCTGTATTCACTTTTAATTTTCTTCTTTTACATACCCTACCAAATTCATCCACCAACCTCTGCAACTTCTCTTCAGAATCTCCCAAGAGCACAGTGTCATCAGCAAAGAGCAACTGTGACAACTCCCACTTTATGTGTGATTATTGTTATTTTCTCATTTGTTTGTTGGGTTATCTTATTGAAACTTGGGCAATGCATGATGGAAAGATACTTCTTAATGTACACCAAAAATGAAAGAAATCAGACCATAAATAACGGGATTCACTTCTCAGTCATTAGCGGCCGCTTAGCGGTATATTTTTGTATGGTTTTTATGGTTATATTCTCGTTTTTTCGGTCTCATTTGATAGAATGGAAGATATATTACAGAAATTGATATGATTTTGATTGCTTACATGACACAAAAAGTACCTTGAAATTGCGCTCACAGTAGCAGAAAGGTTCTATTCTTTAGCGATGCTCAAGTAAACAATTGATGTCACCGTCCAATACCTCTCCGCCTGCCAGTCCAAATTCCAATACGCAGTCAAGAATGGGTTGACATTATTTATACAATTACAATAATGCAGTAGTCTGCATAACAGTAAATCATCTATTTTTTTTATGTGAATAAAAATTCCAAATGTTAAGTAAGAGTAATATAAGAAATATAAGAGGGGCCTGGAGCCATGACTAATGAACAGAGAAAATGTTATTTTAATGCCAGGAATGTCTGCATTGTCTATTCTGGACCCTATTTTTAAATTGGCATCTGTGAAATTGGCCAAATTGCCAATTTCTGACCACTTTATTGGGTAGTTGAAACAGGTGAATGGGCGGTTTCTTGTACTCAGTCGACAGACTAGAAGTAAGTAAGTTAATTCAGGTACTATACACAAATACAGTTACATAGATTATCATACATAGCAGTGTATGTATAGAGAACCTAGGATAACCCAAAAAAAAGTCAGACAAAGTGACTTATTTCCAGTACCTGGCTTGGGCTTGCCATGATTTTTGGTAAATATTGTTTTTTTCTGTTGTTTGTTGGGCTGTCTCATTGAAACTTGGGCAATGTATGATGGAAAGATGCTTCTTAACGTACACCAAAAATAAAAAAGACGGACAATAAATAAGGGAGTTCACTTCTCGGCCATTCGCCGCCTCTTTGTGGTATATGTATTTTCATATGGTTTTTATGGTTGTATTTTCGTGTTTTTGGTCTCATTTGATAGAATGGAAGAAATATTACAGAAATAGACATGATTTTGATTGCTTTTATGATGAGAAGTACCTTGAAATTGAGCTCAAAGAAGCGGAAATGTTCGATTTTTGCCGATGTTCAATGAACTTTGTGTAAGTCAAGTTGGCTAATTTTATTAAGTATTCTAACCTAACCACTCTGTAATCCGGCAAACTCAGTAATCCGGCACACTACAGGTCCCAATGATGCCGGATTTGTGATGGAAGACCTGTACTGATTTAATTGTTCATGTATTTATTTTATTTAGTTCTCATTGTTTTGTGTATGTAAAACTATAATTAATCTTTAAAAAACAATTTTTTGTGAATATTTTTGGGTGTCTGGAACGGATTAATTGTATTTACATTAATTCTTATGGGAATTATTATTTCGGTTGTCGACCATTTCGGTTTTAGGCTGGCCTTCTGGAACGGATTACGGGCATTAACTGAGGGTCCACTGTATAGCAAATTGTTCAGAATGTCCTCAATGGAATTTTTACACCCAAATCTCTTCTCTCAGAGTACATTTTCTCATGAATGTCAATATCAACAAGAATAATGATACAGAAAGTCTTTGAAGCATAAAATGAGCCAAAATCTGAATTTTTTTATTATGTGGACAGAATTTTGTGGTATTTGAAAATTCTGATTTTGTGAAGACTTTTAGTAACCTAACCTCAACTTCTGGCAACCTACCCCTATGGTAAACAAAGTTTACTTTGAATGACCTTTATTAAGAAAGCAGTACCCATTCATAAAGAGGAAGTATTGCATTTCAAGATTTACATATGATTGAAATGAAAATTTGACAAAATTTAATTCAGCATTTTTTTTAAGTTTTTCATGGAATGAGAAACCACGTTTCTATCAAGCATTTTGCTGACCTTAAGTTTGAGAGTGATACACTTGCCCTTCAGTTTAACAGCATCAAGTCTATTCTCCAGTTCTACAGCCAGCTCACTGATGAACTTGTCAGCGTCACTTTGGCAGGTAAACCGAATGCCATAGTTCACCTCTGCTGAGACTGATTTCCTCTGTAAGTGCAAATATGCAATTTATATATTAATCACAAAATCAGTACACACATTCACTGCCTCATGTTCTCCTAAGACACCTGAAAATTACTAAGTATCAGTAAGAAGTAATACAGTGGTACCTCGAGTTTTGAACAGCTCCCAACTCGAACAATTATGTACAGTGAAACCCCAGGTTTCAGCCACCCTAGGAATCGGCCGCTTCAGGTTTTGCCTGCATTTTTTGGCCAAATTTTGTCCCATGTTTCGGCTGGCGTACCAGACCTGTCCGCCTACCCGCACTTCCGCAACTCCCCGAGCAGGGGTTGTCAGCCAGTCTAGCATTGTTTATCCTTGAGTGAACATTACCCTGCACTCTCATCCTGCCTGCCTGCCAGCCAGGCAACCAGCCAGCCAGGCATCCAGCCAGCCAGCCAGCCAGGCATCCAGCCAGTCAGGCAACCAGCCAGCCAGCCAGGCATTGAGCCAGTCAGCCAGCCAGCCAGCCAGCCAACCAGCCAGCCAGTCAGCCAGCAAGCCAGCCAGCCAGCCAGCCAGCCAGGCATCCAGCCAGCAAGCCAGCCATTAATTGTGACTGTGAAAAGTGTGCAAAGCGGAATGAGTTGCAAGCTTTTGTTGAAAAGTACAACCCTGACCAAGCTGAAACAAACCATATCTGCAACATGCTCAGTGACAAAACCTTCTCCCACTTCAGGGAAATCTTAAAGAGATGCCAGAAACAGAGCACTCTTGACAGTTATTTTGTGCAACAGGGGTCCAGTGACTCTCAAGCTGGTCCTAGTGGCCTTAAAAGACAAAGAAGGGAAGAAACCCCAGATAAGGACTTGTTACCTAAAGTTTTTATGGAAGGGGATTCCCCTTCCAAACAATAAGTTCTCCCTCCCTGCTCCCCCTATCTTCCAGATGCCAGCAAGTCTCTTCAATAAAGGTTAGTAAATGTTATTTTAAATGTTTATTTAAATTGCAATTTATGTATAATATATGTGTATTTGTCTGTGTTGTGTGTATGTAAAACTATAGTTATTCTTTAAAAAATGTATTTTTTGTGAATATTTTTGTGGGTCTGGAACGAATTAATTTTATTTACATTATTTCTTATGGGAAATATTGCTTCTCCTTTTGGCCGTTTCGCGGTTAGGCCTAGCTCCTGGAATGAATTATGGCCGAAACCTGGTGTTTCACTGTAAGTATATTTTTGTAAGTGCTTTTGTAAGTGTATTTTTGGGGGTCTGAAATGGACTAATCTAATTTACATTACAGTATTTCTTATGGGAACAAATTCGTTCAGTATCGGCACTCGAACAGCCTTCTGGAACAAATTAAGTTCGTAACTCGAGGTACCATTATACAGTGGACCCCCGCATAACGATTACCTCCGAATGCGACCAATTATGTAAGTGTATTTATGTAAGTGCGTTTGTACGTGTATGTTTGGGGGTCTGAAATGGACTAATCTACTTCACAATATTTCTTATGGGAACAAATTCGGTCAGTACTGGCACCTGAACATACTTCTGGAGTGAAAAAATATCGTTAACCGGGGGTCCACTGTACTGCTCTATTAGACAAAACTACAGAATCTATATACTATTTTTAAGGGATGTTTGCAATACAGATCCCTATTTCTGCTAAGCACAATATAGTGGTCACCAAAAGCACACACTCACCACATGCTCACTCTTCACTAAACGATCATCAATTCCTTGGCAGTAGTTAAAGAGGGATTGGCCTGTTCGAGACCCGAAGGCAGCTTGCAACTGACCAAGGGTTTTAGCCTGCAGGTCCCCACAAGTGTATATCCCTTCACCTTGCAAACGAGTCTCCAGAGACCAGCCAACACCTGAACAAGGGTTGTTTATCAATGTAAATAACAAGGAATGTGAGTGTTCATTGTAAGTACACATTTATATGTTATTCAAATAAAGTATTTTATTTGGTATGTTCCCATGGTTGGTGCATCATTAAACTAGTTAGCATGGAAATCAATCTGTATATTCCACTAGCAAGTGATTATATCTAAATTATTAAAACTACAGTTGCGTTGAATGATCATGTTCTTTGTTTTTCCTGTGCTTAGAAAAGCAACTCTTTCAGGACCGCATAAACATCTCTATTCCACTTGGCATCAGGAATGTCTTTACATAATTATGAGTAAAATAAAAAACTAACAGCATATAGAAAAACAGGAAAGCATTCCAAAGATCTTATAAAATTTCCATTTTAGCAACTCCCATTATAGAAAAAAGATGTACTTTATGGCATACTATTCACTAGTTTTACAGAGTTGGTTGACATAAAGACAGGATGAATGTTAGTAAGAGTGAGCATTAGTTGGATAATGAGTGGTGGCAGGTTATCAGAGGCAAAATTTTGTCTCCATTTCCTTGACACAGGCAGCTGTTCCAAAACCTGCACTTAAGAGATGAACCTTATGATATTTCAGTCTGTCCTGGATCATTTTCCAGTTGTGACTCGACAATGGTCTAGGACAGTCTGCAATATTGTCATAATGTTTTTTCTCCATGGTATTGTGACTTTATGCTTTAATGGCAAATGTCTGTAGCAACACTGCATCACAATGAGATACAGAAACTCTGATGGGCTGTTAGGCATGAACAGGCTAGCATTCACTTCTGAGTGGATCATTGTTCTGACTGTTGTCAGTAGCTGAAAATAACTTAGCCAGGCTCTTAACAGTCATCTTACACACTTTCCTACCAGTGTCAGCTTCCAGTTTCTTCATGTAATAACCTACTTGTAATTATGTTCATGTAATTACAGGAGCTTGTGATGTCTTATCATTATTTATTATGTAAAACAAAATTTAATTTCTAGTGACTGTGGCATTGATTATGCCCTCTTGTAACCAATTTCACTATCCTCGCACTCTGAATTATTATTATATTTAGGGGGAAGTGCTAAACTCATAGGGAGTCACATAGTGCTTGAGAATATAAGGGAGGAAATATAAAATTCTTTGGATCAGGAGCCCTCACCAGCATCAGGCCTTGAAGGAACCATTATGAAAAGAACTTTCTACTATCATTTTGGTACCTCTTGGTCTTTCCTTTCATGGTGTTAAGAAATCATCATTATCTATTCATAAAATTTTTTTACCACAACAGCCATTTTCTATCAGGGTAAGATAACACAAAGGAAATATATTCACAATCACTGATTCAATATAAAGCCAATTCCTTGGACTGAGAGTCCCCTCACTGGCATCAAGGCATTTCCCACAAGGGGACACATTTAATAACTTTCTTGCCAGAAGTGCACGAACATCACAATAAAATTTACCTTGTGAACTCGAACAAATCTATCCATTCTTCAAGGTGCAGGCATGTACTTCCCACCTCCAGAACTCAAGTCTGGCTAACTGATTTCCCTGACTCTCCACATACTGTTAAGTTTACTAAACACAGTTTTGTCCAGTACAACATCCTTTTTTAACCAGGTATGTAACCATGCTCAGCAGGGCTCCACTATAATGCAATTTGTCTTAATAAAATCTTTAATATGGCATTCAATACAGTATCACAGTTTGTTTAAATTTTTGAACAAACCAGCCATCTCCCACCAAGGAAGGGTGACCCAAAAATGAAACACCTTCACCATCATATATTCAATGGCTATCATGCCAGAAGTGTGCAGGCATCACAATTTCCATGCCCTTCCAAGCTGCAACATCCCCACCCTTCCTTCAGAGTGCAGGCACTGTACTTCCACCTCTTGTACTCAAGTCTGGCTAGCCAGTTTTCCTAAATCCCTCCATAAATGTTACCCTACTCATGCTCCATAAGAACATCATGTCATAATAACCATGTCTCTACTCATTCTGATCTAACATGCTTAATTAAGCCTGCTGGATGCTCAAGCCCCTAGTACTCTAACCCTTCCTGGGATGAACCGTACCCCTCCTTCCTTCCACTCCAACCTTATACACTCTCTTAAATACATAAAAGCTTAATTTTTACTACAGTAATATTTTAATTTTGCATCAAAAGGTTACCTGGAAGTTCAGAGACCTTGTGGTCCTTCATATAGTTAGCAAGGTCTTCAGGGTCAGCCACATACTGACCATTGGGTTTAGCTCTTCTGGTAGCCATGCGAGCAACCAGAATGCTCGGTCCCATGCCGACTGAACATGGACACCCTGTTGCTGCCTGCAAATTAAGACAGAATTAATAGATTTATCATTTATGTATAAAACTGAAAGTCCCTGCTATCGCTTCTGACTTTCACTCTACGTGTATTCACACATTTCAAATGCAAATGTTTATGCATGCCCATAAAAACTTGGGTCTTTCAATTCAAAAAAGTTCTTCCATGTGAAAACAGTAACTTAAAAAAATTAAGCATAAAAAATGTCCAAATACTGTACTTAAATTCATGGTGAAGCAATAAACCTGTAATGGACATAAAATGCCTGGAAAATGGGAAGTAATCAGGTCTGATCCAAGGAAGAGTATAGTAGTTCTAAACCCTTGGAACATGAACCTTTCACCAGCATCAGGGCACACTCTTGAAGGGTAATCAGCACATAATATAGCATACATTTATTACTTGTTGTATACGAATCAACATGAGCATTCCCAACACCAAGATTTTTAAGTACAAAACACACAATATGTCCATAAAGCCCTTCTCATATTCAAATTTTTTCCTCAACAAAATAGTAAGCTATGAAAATGCAGTTTTCTGTATATGATAGTGGAATTAATAATTTTCATGCAGCTTCAAAGGCAATAAAAATAAAAATACTGAGCTATCAAATCAAGTAAGAATTAGAAATAAAGGATTTAAATTAGATAAATTTAGATTTAGAAAGTACTGGGTTTTCAAACAGACCTGTCGATGAGTGGAATAATCTCCTAAGTCAAGTCATAGAAGTTAAAACCTAATTAAGTAGCTTTAAAGAGAGATTAGACAAATATACAGTGGAACCTCTACTTACAAGTGCATCCAGATACGAGCAGTCGCTCAGTCGATTTTTTGCTTCCAGACGCGAGCAAAATTTCCAGATGTGAGCGGGCCTCAAGGGAAATTCCTTGACGCTGATGAGGGGCTCTTGCTCTTGATCTAGGGAATTGGATCTCAGTTGTTTGTTGGACTGTCTAATTGAAACTTGGGCAATGTATGATGGAAAGATGCTTATTAACATACAATAACGGAGTTCACTTCTCAGCCATTAGCCTCCCCTTAGAGGTATATTTTCATATGGTTTTTATGGTTGTATTCTTGTTTTTTTGGTCTCATTTGATATACTGCAGAAATAGATATGATTTTGATTGGTTTCACGACAAAAAGTACCTTGAAATTGAGCTCAAAGTAGCAGAAATGTTTGATTCTTTGGTGATGTTCAAGAGTAAACAAATGACGTCACCGTCCAATACCTGTCCTATTGGCACTGCCCCTCAACCTTCACATATTGGAAAGCTCTTCAACATGCTAGCAAAAGTGGGAGCAGACATCATTAGGTAGCAGTGGCAGACAACATGAAGCAGCAAAGGCAGACAACATGAAGCAGCAGTGGCAGACATGAAGCAGCAGTGGTAGACAACATGAAGCAGCAGTGGCAGACATGAAGCAGCAGTGGCAGACATCATGAAGCAGCAGTGGCAGACATCATGAGGTAGCACTGGCAGACAACATGAAGCAGCAGTGGCAGACATCATGAGGTAGCACTGGCAGACAACATGAAGCAGCAGTGGCAGACATCATGAGGTAGCAGTGGCAGACAACACGAAGCAGCAGTGGCAGACAACATGAAGCAGCAGTGGCAGACAACATGAAGCAGCAGTGGCAGACAACATGAAGCAGCAGTGGCAGACATCATGAAGCAGCAGTGGCAGACATCATGAAGCAGCAGTGGCAGATAACATGAAACAGCAGTGGCAGACCTTATTGCACTCTATACTATAAGTGAGTTTCCGATGCTCAGTCCGCTCCATTTGCGGTGGAGGGAATTCTCGTCTTTTCCTTATGTTTCATGCAGTTATTTTGCGAAATTTCATGTTTCTAACCATGGGTCCTAAGAAAGCAAATGCAAAGGACAGTGCTGAGAAGAAAAAGAGGATGATTTCCATGGAATTAAAGCAGGAAATCATAAATAAACAAACTAAGTGGAGGGTTAAGGACTTGGCCAGGCAGTACCAGCGTACCACTTCTACGATATGTACAATACTAAAGGCAGAAGGAGTCAGTGACAAAGTGTAGCATTAAGGGTGTAGCAATTAAGTGTAGTATTAAGAGTGTAGCAATTAAGTGTAGCATTAAAAGTGTAGCAATTAAGTGTAGCATTAGTGTAGCAATTACTGTATAAGTCACTCTATCTGACTTTTTTTGGGTTATCCTAGGTTCTCTACACATGTAGTCAGGAGGAATGGCCTCTGTGGTGGCCCTATAAACCCCAACAACAACAATGGCCACTGTCACCACCACTAGCCACATATATAATGACATGTATTTATTCATTCTAGTGTATATATCATGTTTCTATGTTATTAATATTGTTTATGTCATATTAGATGAATTGTGATAGATAAATAAGCCGTAGAGTTGATATTACAGAAAATTATTGAAGTATTTTGTAGTGCCTGGAATTCCACTGGAACGAATTAATTCTGTTTCAGTTAATTTAAATGAGGAAAATTGACTCTGCAAATGAGCAAATCCAGATACAAGCAAGGTCATGGAACGGATTAAACTCATAAGTAGAGGTTCCACTGTATAAGCAGGAATGGCTAGGTTTGATTAGTACATGAAATACTGAAGTAGACTCAATATTTCAGGTGAGTGAGAATGACTGGGATTCATTATCCACACTAACTGAGATTCATTATCCACACTAACTGAGATCTACCAACATTGAATCTTGGAAGGATGGCCTAATGAACTGTAGCCTTTTTCTGTCTCGTACCATGAGAAATAACATGGTGTGATATTATGCATGTGTTTTGTTTACTGTGCATATATTTTTATGGTACATATATAGCCTCGCCACACTTAGCAACGTACTCATTTACCAATGATAGGACTTACAAAGGGCTCTCTGAGCAGTATGCATACCTAAATAATGTATATCAGAGCTGATTTCCTCTATTCTGTTTATTACAATATACAGTGCACTACTGTATAAACATTTAAAAATATATTAAAAATGTTATAAATGGTGCAAAAGTGACATTAAAACAATATCAAAGATGGTTGACACAAACCCACTACATGCCATTTTATTTTAATCTTTTTTCCAGGTTAATAAAAGTGTTTTAAAATGACCCATAGACCTTTATTAATATTTCAGTGATGGTTATGATCCTCACATTTTAACAGGTCTAAGAAGTCAATATGAGCCAAATGAGTTTAATATGGAGGCCTGTGAGTCCGTGTGATCGAGCAAAGAAAGTAACATGTCATATCAAGAGTATGGGGCAGTATCCAATTTAGAGGTCCAAGTGCCCTAAACAGAACAACATTTAGGGGGATCCCTGCTGACAACTACTGCACTAGAGGAAATTAAATTTTAACATTAGTGCCAGAAGTATAATTGATTGTATGACTGCCATTGGCCTGCTGCCAGCATACCACCCACGGTAGTACTACCGTCCTGCCAGATGACTGTGAAGCAGAAACCTGTAATTGTTTTACATGATGATAGGATTGCTGGTGCCTTTTTCTGTCTCATAAACATGCTGGATAACAGGTATATCTTACTACTTCTACTTACACTTAGGTCACACTACACAGGCACATGCACATGCATATATATACATACACACATCTAGGTTTTTCTTCTTTTTTCTAAATAGCTCTCGTTCTTCTTTATTTCCTCTATTGTCCATGGGGAAGTGGAAAAGAATCTTTCCTCCGTAAGCCATGTGTGTCATATGAGGCGACTAAAATGCTGGGAGCAATGGGCTAGTAACCCCTCCTGTACACATTTACTAAACAAGAGAAGAAGAAAAACTTTATAAAACTGGGATGCTTGAATGTGCATGGATGTAGTACAGACGACAAGAAAGAGATGACTGCTGATGTTATGAATGAAAAGTAGTTGGATGTCCTGGCCCTAGGTGAAACAAAGTTGAAGGGGGTAGGGGAGTTTCGGTGGGGAAAAATACATGGGATTAAGTCAGGAGTATCTGAAAGAGTTAGAGCTGAGGAAAAGGTAGCAATAATTTTGAAAGATCAGTTATGGAAGGAGAAGAGCGAATATAAATGTGTAAATTCAAGGATTATGTGGATTTAAATATGGGTTGGATGAGAAAAGTGGGTCATAATAAGCGTGTATGAACTTGGAGAAGAGAGGAGTGTAGAGGAGAGAGAGAGAGATTTTGGGAGATGTTAAGTGAATGTACAGGAACCTCTGAACCAAGTGACAGAGTAATTGTGGTAGGGGAATTAAATGCTAAAGTAGGAGAAACATTTAGAGAGGGTGTGGTAGGTAAATTTAGGGTGCCAGGTGTAAAAGATAATGGGAGCATTTGATTGAACTTTGTATAGAAAGGGGTTTAGTTATAGGTAATACATATTTTAAGAAATAGAAAATAAATAAGTAAACAATATATGATGTAAGGCATAATGACAGTAGTTTGTTGGACTATGCATTGGTAAATAAAAGACTGTTGAGTAGACTTCAGGATGTACATGTTAATAGAGAGGCCACACACATATCGGATCACTTTTTAGTTGTAGCTATAGTGAGAATAAAAGGTTAATAGATGGGATACAAGGAAAATAGAAGCATCAAGTAAGAGAGAGATGAAGGTTCATAAACTAAAAGAAGAGGCAGTTAGGGTAAGATATAAACAACTGTTGGAGGATAGATGGGCTAGTGAGAGTATAAGCAATGGGGTCGAAAATGTATGGGGTAGGTTTAAAAATATAGTGTTAGTGTGTTTAGCAGAAGTTTAAGGTCACAGGAAAGTAGGTGCAGGAGGGAAGAAGGTGAGCGATTGGTGGAATGATAATGTAAAAAAGAAAAAGTTAGCATATGAGAAGCTTTTACAAAGTAGAAGTGATGCAAGGAGGAAAGAGTATATGGAGAGAAAAAGAGAATTTAAGAGAGTGGTGAAGCAATGCAAAGAGAGAGCAAATGAGAGAGTGGGTGAGATGTTATCAACAAATTTTGCTGAAAATAAGAAAGAGTTTTGGAGTGAGATTAACAAGCTGAGGAAGCCTAAGGAACAAATAGATTTGTCAGTTAAAAATAGGAGAGGAGAGTTATTAAATGGAGAGTTAGAGGTATCGGGAAGATGGAGGAAATATTTTGAGGAATTGTTAAATGTTGATGAAGATAGGGAAGCTGTGATTTCGTGTATAGGGAAAGGAGGAATCACATCTTGTAGGAGTGAGGAAGAGCCAGTCGTGAGTGTGGGGGAAGTTTGTGAGGCAGTGGGTAGAATGAAAGGGGGTAAGGCAGCTGGGATTGATGGAATAAAGATAAAAATGTTAAAAGCTGGTGGGGATATAGTTTTGGAGTGGTTGGTGCTATTATTTAATAAATGTATGGAAGAGGGTAAGGTACCTAGGGATTGGCAGACAGCATGCATAGTTCCTTTGTATAAAGTCAAAGGGGACAAAACAGAGCGCAAAAATTATAGGGGGATAAGTCTGTTGGGTATACCTGATAAAGTGTATGGTAGAGTTATCATTGAAAGAATTTAGAGTAAGACGGAGAGTAGGATAGCAGATGAACAAGGAGGCTTTAGGAAAGGTAGGGGGTGTGTAGACCAAGTGTTTACAGTGAAACATATAGGTGAACAGTATTTAGATAAGGCTAAAGAGGTTTTTGTGGCATTTATGGACTCGGAAAAGGTGTATGACAGGGTGGATAGGGGGTGGTATAGGAGGTAGGTTACTGAAAGCAGTGAAGAGTTTTTATGAGGATAGTGAAGCTCAGGTTAGAGTATGTAGGAAAGAGGGAGATTATTTCCCAGTAAAAGTAGGCCTTAGACAAGGATGTGTGATGTCACCGTGGTTGTTCAATATATTTATAGATGAAGTTGTAAGAGAAGTGAATGCGAGGGTCTTAGCAAGAGGTGTGGAGTTAAAAGATAAAGAATCAAACACAAAATGGGAGCTGTCACAGTTGCTTTTTGCTGATGACACTGTGCTCTTGGGAGATTCTAAAGAGAAGTTACAGAGGTTGGTGGATGAATTTGGTAGGGTATGTAAAAGAAGAAAATTAAAAGTGAATATAGGAAAGAGTAAGGTTAGTGAGGATAACAAAAAGATTAGGTGATGAAAGATTGGATATCAGATTGGAGGGAGAGAGTATGGAGGAGGTGAATGTATTCAGATATTTAGGAGTGGTCGTGTCAGCAGATGGGTCCATGAAAGATGAGGTGAATCACAGAACTGATGAGGGGAAAAGGGTGAGAAGTGCACTTAGGAGTCTCTGGAGACAAAGAACTTTGTCCTTAGAAGCAAAGAGGGGAATGTATGAGAGTATAGTTTTACCAATGCTATTATATGGGTGTGAAACATGGGTAATGAATGTGGCAGTGAGGAGAAGGCTGGAGGCAGTGGAGATGTCATGTCTGAGGGCAATGTGTGGTGTGAATATAATGCAGAGAATTCATAGTTTTGAAGTTAGGAGGAGGTGCGGGATTGCCAAAACTATTGTCCAGAGGGCTGAGGAAGGGTTGTTGAGGTGGTTCGGACATGTAGAGAGAATGGAACAAAACAGAATGACTTTGAGAGTGTATAAATCTGTAGTGGAGGGAAAGCAGGGTAGGGGTCGGCCTAGGAAAGGTTGGAGGGAGGGGGTAAAGGAGGTTTTGTGTGCGAGGGGCTTGGACTTCCAGCAAGCATGCGTGAGCGTATTTGATAGGAGTGAATGGAGACAAATGGTTTTTAATACACTTGACGTGCTGTCGGAGTGTGAGCAAAGTAACATTTATGAAGGGATTCAGGGAAACCGGCAGACCGGACTTGAGTCCTGGAGATAGGAAGTACAGTGTCTGCACTCTGAAGGAGAGGTGTTAATGTTGAAGTTTTATAAACTGTGGTGTTAAGCACCCCTCTGGCAAGACAGTGATGGAGTAAATGATGATGAAAGTTTTTCTTTTTTGGGCCACCCTGCCTTGGTGGGAATCAGCCAATATGTTAATAAAAAAAATAAATACGTATTTAATATTCAATAAAATATGAGACGACCTTTAAAATTATATTCACCTCAGAATTTAAGTACAGTAGGGCCCTGCTTTACGGCGTTTCGCTTTATGGCATTCTGCTAATACGGTCATTTCAAATTATGACCAAAACTCGCTATACGGCTCCCCCCACCTGACTTTCTAATACGGTCACCGCGCCCCACCCGGTTTGTTTACATTCTCTGTGAGATCTGTAAGCACTAAGTCTCTCCATTATGTCTGGAAACTCCAAAATTTTAAGTGTTTTTAAAAGTTATTTCATATTTTATATATACTCTGATAATTATATTTATGTATACCTGTACTTAAATAAACTTACATACTGTGCTGGCATGCAGGTACACATTAAAATCAGTAAGAGTGTCTTATGTCTCCAAACGTCATATTAGTAATGATAATAATAATCATCGAGTCTCATTAAATGTCGTATGTTACGTTGATATACATATTTTCATTAATCCATCTATGATATTTTTTCAAAATTATATAATAAACACGATGCATAACATATAAAGATGATAAATACACCCCACAGTAGAATAAATAAACATAAATATGAGATGTGGTAGCAGACGACTTGCACAAGTGACCGCAATAAATTTAGAAATAATAATAATAATAATAATAATAATAATAATAGTAATAATCACCAAGTCTCATTAAATGTCGCATATTACATTAATATACACATTTTCATTAATCCATCCATGATATTTTTTTCAAAATTATATGATAAACATGATACATAACATATAAAGACGATAAATACACCCCACAATAGAATAAATAAACATAAATATGAGATGTGGTAACCAGATAACTTGTACAAGTGATGCCAAGAATAACATTTTCTCTAATCTCACATAAGAGAAAATGTGTTTACCTGGAGTTTACCTGGAGAGAGTTCCGGGGGTCAACGCCCCCGCGGCCCGGTCTGTGACCAGGCCTCCTTAGGTCAGTGTCCCAGGATGCGACCCACACCAGTCGACTAACACCCAGGTACCCATTTTACTGATGGGGAACATAGACAACAGGTGGAAAGAAACACGCCCAATGTTTCTACTCTGGCTGGGAATCGAACCCAGGCCCTCACCGTGTGAAGCGAGAGCGTTAACCAGCGTTAACTGTAGAAAATTATTCCTTTCATATGTATGTAAGTAAGTTTATTCAGGTATACACAAATACAGTTACATAGATTATCATGCATAACAGCATATGTGTAGAGAACCTAAGATAACCCAAAAATGTCAGAGTGACTTATTTCTATTGCCTTCACTCAGAGCATCATTTATTCTCAAAATGATGTTACATGAGAATGGGAGTGTTCTTCTTCATTTATTCTACCGTATCAATGTAGAGACAACCTGTACACATTGTAACTTGTACACAAACCAGACGTGTACACTTTGTTTACAAAACTTACCTTCGCCTGGTTTGTTTACATAACTCTGCGCCTGTCCTCTCTCATGCACTCATTCTTTCTCTCTCTCATTTATTCGTTTTATCTCATTTACTTACTCCTGACCCTACATTAAGACTACAAATATTTTAAGGTAAGTAATGAGTGAACTGTATATACATTTTATCGCTCTGGGATGCTTAAATATCATAGAATATGTGTGGGTGGGTTGGCCTGGTATGGTAGCCCGGCTGACTACCATACATACCACACTTGATTTCTTACAATAAATACTACTTGTCTCACCCTAGATTAAGACTATAAATATTTTAAGGTAAGTAATGAGTGCACTATGTGTATATTGTACTTTTGTTTTTTTGATGCCTAGTTCTAATGCTAACTTAATATATGTTTGTGTGAACTTGTTATCTAGTATTTGTATGCATTTATAAGTGGAAAAAAAAGGTGTTCCACTTTACGGCGATTTCCGCTTTACGGCGGTAGCCTGGAACCTAACCTGCCGTATAAGTGGGGCCCTACTGTACATACTTTGTATAAGTAAATATATATCTGTGGTCTTGCACGATTATCCTGCATGACCATAAACCATCACATGTTATATATAGGGGTGCAACTCACAAAGGGGTAAGAAATAGTTAACAATTTCACTGTCCCTCAGTAAGTGCGGCTCTAATTGGCCACTTAGTCTGCTTATCTGTAAATCCACCATTGGTATGGGGGTCATATGATGGGGCCATCATGGCCCATTCCATCTGCCAAGGAACTTCATGCTACAATAATTATGGTAGTGTATACAAAGAATTATATTTTGCACACCTCTCTATCAGGCTAGGTTTATTAAAAATTCCATATTTCTTAAATTATTTCACAGCTACTGACTTCATTTTATTGCACAAATAACTTAAAACAGCCTCTCCTCACTTAGCGACATACTCATTTACCGAAACCTCAGACTTACGACGGGCTCCCTGGCCAGCATGCATGCCTAAATAATGTATATTAGAGCTGCTTACTACAATATACAGTACACTACTGTATAAACATTTAAAAATATACCAGAAATGTTATAAATGGTGCAAAGGTGACATTAAAACAATATCAAAGATAGTTGGCAAGAAATGTTAAAAATGTGCAAAGGTGACATTAAAACAATATCAAATATAGTTGACACACACCCACTACCATTATAGTATGCTCCTCACTTAGCGACGAATTCGTTTACCGATGTGGTCTTAGGAACGGAACTCTGCCGTTAAGTGAGGAGAGGCTGTGCAGCATTATAAATTTCCCATACAGTAATACTGCCCTCACTATTTCATTACCTAAGAAAATAAAGTACTATACCTGTATTTTTTCACGAAGATAAGTAGCAAATTGATCAGGAGTGACTTGGCAAGTGCAAAGGAGCTCAGTTAAGTCAACAAACATTTCGTCACAGCTAACTGCCTCTATATCATGTGTAAAACTGCAATAAAAAATCTTTTAAGGAAAGTGTTTAGTATACAATCATTAGATAATAAGATTTCCTCTGTGATTCCTGAAATAATTACACCAAATTTACAAAAAAAAAAAAACTCTATACTCTATCTCATCTCCATTTCTACATTTAATATTATTGTAAGATTTATAGCCTATACCTAGGTAGTAGGTTGATAGACAGCAATTGCCAGGGAGGTACTACCGTCCTGCCAACTGAGTGTAAAACGAAAGCCTGTACAGTGGTACCTTGACTTACAAGTTTAATTCGTTCTGTGACCTAGCTCATAACTCAATTTGCTCGTATATCAAATCAGTTTTCCTCATTGAAATTAATTGAAATGCCATTAATCCGTTTCAGCCCCCAAAAACCACCCCAATTTAAATTACTTCAATAATAAAGGCTGGGCTTCATGAAGTACATCAATAACTTACTTCCCAGATATTCGCCTGGAACGCCAGCCAGCCTCCTGCTCAGGAAAAAAAAAAATTCCAGGAAAATTGCTTTTCTTTCAGTGTTTTTCTTATGGAACTAGTGACCTAGTGCAGTTAGCCTCACAAAAATTCTGTTTTCTCTTACCCAAGACCAGAGAACACGTTATAGGAAGGAGCAATAATTATTTTATATGCGGGATTGGTCGTGAACATTCGCCATATTATGGCCTATTTTATTAATTTTAGAGTACATATCATGTTCCTATATTATTTATATTGTTTATCATGTCATATTAGATCAGTTTTGATAGATAAATAAACTGTAAAGTTGATATTAGCATTATATTTGAAGTACAGTGGACCCTCAACTTACGATATTAACCCGTTCCAGAGAGCTCATCATTAGGTGAAATTATCGTAAGTTGAATTAATTTTCCCCATAAGAAATAATGGAAATCCAATTAATCCATTCCACACACCCAAAAGTACGAAAAATTTTTACCACGTGAAATATACATTTTCCTACTCACAAAAAGGAGGATAATGCACAATATATATTATGCATGTACTACTGTACTAAATGAAGAATAAATGACACTTACCTTTATTGAAGATGTAGTGATGAGTGATGAGACACTGTTTTTCTTGAACACTCTGGGATTTTCAGAGTGATACATGAGTAAAGGCTTCACTTTGCAATCCCCACTAGCATTACAACAAAACAAGAAAGTTAGCCTGTCTTTCATAGGCTTGTGTCCTGGGAGTGCCTTTTCCTCCTGAGTAATGTAGGTCCTGTTTGGCATTTTCTTCCATAACAGGCCTGTTTCATCACAACTGAACACTTGTTGGGGTTGGAATTTTTCAGCTTTCCCATGCCTTATCACACTGTGCATGCCACTAGGATTCTTAAATCATTCAAACCAACCTTTGCTGGCCTTAAATTCACCAATATGAGCACTAGTTCCAGGCATTTTTTCCTGTTCACCTGGGTGTTAGTCAACTGGTGTGGGTCGCATCCCGGGGGAACATGATTAACCCTTTGACTGTCGCAGGCCCCTTTCTGAAACTGTCATTCTATGTCGCAAAATATTCGAAAAAAAAATAAAAATTTTCTTATGAAAATGTTAAGATTATTTTTCTGAGTGTTTTAGTCCCAAAAAAAATTTTTTTGCCATCAGTACTTACCGAGATATAGAGCCGTGAAGTTTGCAGAAAATGAGCCGCGTATGGCAACGGGGGCGACTGCCGCTCACCCGGTAAACTTTAGTTTACTTGTATTTGAAGGTTTTTTGTTTTTTCACTATTTTATTTTTTCACACAACTTATGTGGCCTATGAGACCAAAGTAAGGTGCAATGTACATACATACATTTGTTGTATACAACACAATAAGCACACAAACATAATTATCAATATATTGTTTACAAAACTTGTTTACAAAAACAAACAATACAAAAAAATGTTCATTACTATTGTTCTATAATATACAGTGGACCCCCGCTTAACGATCACCTCCAAATGCGACCAATTATGTAAGTGTATTTATGTAAGTGCATTTGTATGTGTATGTTTGGGGGTCTGAAATGGACTAATCTACTTCACAATATTCCTTATGGGAAAAAATTCGGTCAGTACTGGCACCTGAACATACTACTGGAATGAAAAAAGTTTGTTAACCGGGGGTCCACCGTATATACCAATGTACAGTCACCGAACATATTCCTAGAAGTTCTGCAGCTTGTGGAACTCTTTGAAACATGTTTTCATACACAATGGTGTTTTACACTCCTCACACACAAAACCAGTGTGTGTGCATTTTTGTGGACATTTTATGTGCAAAGACAAAACACCTCGTCTGAGCAGTTTTCTTCAAAGTATTAGCAGGCAGTTGTGTTATGTAGTTATCCTAGGTAAATGGTCGTGTGTCATCATTCCTTCCTTCCTACTTTCCTGCATTCCTTTCCTTCATTCCTTTCCTTCATTCCTTTCCTTCATTCCTTTCCTTCATTCCTTTCCTGCATTCCTTTCCTTCATTCCTTTCCTTCATTCCTTTCCTGCATTCTTTTCCTTCATTCCTTTCCTTCATTCCTTTCCTGCATTCCTTTCCTTCATTCCTTTCCTGCATTCCTTTCCTTCATTCCTTTCCTTCATTCCTTTCTTGCATTCCTTTCCTTCATTCCTTTCCTGCATTCCTTTCCTGCATTCCTTTCCTGCATTCCTTTCCTGCATTCCTTTCCTGCATTCCTTTCCTTCATTCCTTTCCTTCATTCCTTTCCTGCATTCCTTCATCTGTCCTTCCTTCATTCCTGCCTTCCCTTCTTGCTTCTGGTTTCTATAATATATATATATATATACACACACATATATAGTCACTAGATACTTTCATATAACTGCTATTATCTCCATTCAGCAAGCTTGTTTTGTGTGCTAGTGTGTGGCTTATAAATGTTTTGAGTCAGGAGTTGACAGCTGTCAAAATGACATATTATCTCATTACTCACTCCCCCTACCGCCTGTCAAAACAATGGGGTCCGATGCTGCTTCCCCTCCATTCTATCTAGTTATCTTTCTCCCTCATTCTATCTCTTTCAATCTGTCTCTCTTTCTATCTGTCTGTCTATCTCTGTCTCACAGGTACACATAAATACAAGTATACATAGTGTAAATTACCTAGGATAACCCAAGAAATCCAGACAAAGTGCTATACTGTGCTTGAAGATGTGAGTAAACGTGATGACGCAGTCTTGTGGCTCTCTCTGAGACAGAGAGCTAGATGGATAGACGGGGAGCTTGACAGACAAATAGACAGACAGAAATGTTTGTGTACCAGCAAAAACAGAGGGAGGGGGATGGTCATCTAATCTTTTCTTATCAGCTGCACCCTCCCTTCACCCTCCTTTACGCTCATCAAACATCAGCTCTTATCAGATGTTATCTCACCTTATCTTGTCACTGTCATGGGGTGGACTGTTTTCCATGCTTCAAGGGAACATCTTCTTCCCCTTCCTTCTTCTCCTTCCTTCTTCTCCTTCCTTCTTCTTCTCCTTCCTCCTCCTCCTCCTCCTTCTTCCTCCTCCTCCTTCCTCCTTCCTCCTTCTTCCTCCTCCTCCTTCTTCCTCCTCCTTCCTCCTCCTTCCTCCTTCCTCCTCCTCCTCCTCTTCCTCCTCTTACACATAAATACAAGTATACATATTGTAAATTACCTAGGATAACCCAAAAAATCCAGACAAAGTGCCAAACTCAGCTTGAAGATGTGAGTAAACGTGATGATGACACAGTCTTGTGGCTCTCTCTGAGACAGAGCTAGATGGACAGACAGGGAGCTTGGCAGACAGACAAATAGACAGACAGAAATGTTTGTGTGCCAGCAAAAACAAAGGGAGGGCAATAGTCATCTAATCTTTTGTTATCAGCTGCACCCTCCCTCCACCCTCATTTACGCTCATCAAACATCAGCTCTTATCAGATGTTATCTCACCCTATCTTGTCACTGTCATGGGGTGGACTTTTTTTTTCTTGCTTCAAGGGAACAATATTATTATTTCTTCTTCTTCTTCTTCTTCTTCTTCTTCTTCTTCTTCTTCTTCTTCTTCTTCTTCTTCTTCTTCCTCTTCCTCCTCCTCCTCCTCCTCCTCCTCTTCCTCCTCTTCCTCTTCCTCCTCTTCCTCTTCTCTCCTCTTCCTCTTCCTCCTCTTCCTCTTCCTCCTCTTCCTCTTCCTCTTCCTCTTCCTCCTCTTCCTCTTCCTCCTCTTCCTCTTCCTCTTCCTCCTCTTCCTCTTCCTCCTCTTCCCCCTCCTCCTCTGCTCTTTTCCTCCTGCTCTTCTCCTCCTGCTCTTCTCCTCCTGCTCTTCTCCTCCTGCTCTTCTCCTCCTGCTCTTCTTCTCCTCCTCCTCTTCCTCCTCCTCCTCCTCTTTTTCCTCCTCCTCCTCCTCTTCTCCTCCTCCTCTTCCTCTTCTCCTCCTCCTCTTCCTCTTCCTCCTCCTCCTCTTCCTCCTCCTCCTCCTCCTCCTCCTCTTCTTCCTCCTCCTCCTCCATTGCTTTTGGTCTCAAACTCCTCAAAATCCTGAAATTGATCTTCACTGACACTTCCATCTGTGTTAGAGCATCACTTGGGAAGAGAAGAGTCCCAGATTTGCTGGGGAGTCACATATTTCTTACCGCTAAGCATGCTGAAAAAGGACAATTGAAATGGTATTCCCACAATGCACCACTGGCTCCCTGATTTTTTTATATGGTGCACACTGACCATGGAGACCCATTCTCTCACATGTGGGCCTACCAGCTTTCTCCTGCTTGATTTGAAGCCGCTAGAATTTATGCGTATAAATACGTCAGAAACAGTGGTGCATAAAACGTATATAATACAGCGTAAACAGTCAAAAGGTTAACCCCTTCAGGGTCCAAGGCCCAAATCTGAAGTGGTGCCCCAGTGTCCAAGAATTTTCAAAAAAAAAAAAATTTGTTATTTTTTCTTATGAAATGGTAGAGAATCTTTTTGCAAAGGTAATAAAACAAAAAGTACGAAATTTGATGGAAAATTGACGAAATTATGCTCTCGCGAATTTTGATGTGTCAGCGATATTTACGAATCGGCGATTTTGCCGACTTTGACTCCCATTTTAGGCCAATTACATTATTCCAGTCAACCAAATTCTTAGCTATTTCGCTAGTATTACTTCTATTCTATTGATTGAGCACAAGAAATCGCCAAGTCAACTGTTTCAACTACAAATTAAAGTGATCAGAAATTGTTAATTTGGCCAATTTAACACAAAGTTCAAAATATTCCAATTTCAAAATAGGGTCCAGAATAAACAATGTAGGTATTCCTGGAACTAACATTTCCTCTGTTCATTAGTTATGTTTTGAAGCTTTACAAATAAATTCCATTTTGATTTTTTATTCACATAATGAATTTTTATTCACACCAAAAAATAGAAGATTTGCTGTTATGCAATACTGTAATAATTGTATAAATATCATCACCATATGTGTGAATGCATATTAGACCCACCAGCTGGTGTGTATTAGAAGTGTGAGGTCGTTTGTTTACTCTTGAATATTGGCAAAAATTTAACATTTCTGCTACTTTGAGCTCAGTTTCAAGCCATTTCCAGTGCTAAAACCAATCAAAATCATCTCTATTTCTGTAATATGTCTTCCATTCTATCAAATGAGACCAAGAAATCGCAAATAGAACTATAAAAAACATACGAAAAAACACTGCAAAGTTGCTGTTTTAATCGAAAAATCATGATTTCAGTTTTTTTATCTCATTATACACAGCGTGCTGCAGGATCTGTTTTATGGAGTGCACACATACCACACAGATGTATTCTCTCATATCTAGGCCCAAATGTACCACTCACAGTTTATCAGAGTGAGCTGAGCTCATGACATAGATCTACGGTTTGGACCCTGAATGTAAAGCCGTAGATCTACGGACGACCCTCAAAGGGTTAAGGACCCCAATGGAAATAAGTTAGACAGTCCTCGATGACACACTGACTTTCTTGGGTTATCCTGAGTGGCTAACCCTCTGGGGTTAATTATTTCTCGTTAAGCCACACCAACAACACTCCACATCTTCAAGTAGTACAGCTGACGGTGGTGCAGCAGCAGCTGACCGTGGTACAGCAGCAGCTGATGGTGGTGCAGCAGCAGCTGATGGTGGTGCAGCAGCAGCTGACAGTGGTGCAGTAACAGCAGCAGCTGACTGTGGTACAGCAGCAGCTGATGGTGGTACAGCAGCAACTGATGTGGTACAGCAGCAGCTGATGGTGGTACAGTAGCAGCTGATGGTGGTGCAGCAGTAGCTGACCATGGTACAGCAGCAGGTGATGGTGGTGCAGCAGCAACTGAGGATGGTGCAGTAACAGCAGCAGCTGACTGTGGTACAGCAGCAGCTGACGGTGGTACAGCAGCAGCTGATGGTGGTACAGCAGCAGCTGATGGTGGTACAGTAGCAGTTGATGGTGGTGCAGCAGCAGATGATGGTGGTACAGCAGCAGTTGACGGTGGTACAGCAGCAGTTGATGGTGGTACAGCAGCAGTTGGTGGTGGTGCAGCAACAGCAGCAGCTGACTGTGGTACAGCAGCAGCTGATGGTGGTACAGCAGCAGCTGATGGTGGGACAGCACCAGCTGACGGTGGTGCAGCAACAGCTGACTGTGGTACCATAGTATTTCGATAGTATTTCTCACCCTTTTTGCCACAGGGTTGGCACTAGAAGCTTTCTTTGGGCCCATGGTGGCTTATTTAGCAGTTACAAGCACTAAAAACAATGGAATAATACAAAATATATCGCATGTATGCGTGAAGCCATCCGCCCTGGCTTGTAAACAGTGGCACATTAGCTGAAGGCAGGGCAGCTGAGGCGCTCAGGCTGGACGGTGGAAGGTGGAAACGTTCGGGACGAATGTCCTTACCTGAGTTTTTCAACGTTGGTCGAGCCAATATTTTTACGCAAAAACTCATCGTTACCCGATTTTATCATTAGTCGATGCCATCGTTGGTCGAGGGTCCACTGTACTCGTACATGATCGGCCCTCAAAGGGTTAATATAGTATAAAGAAAAATGATTACAGTATTGCACATATGAATAATTATTAATATTATACAGTATTTATGGAGAAGAACTAAACCTACAGAGGTCATACAATGCCTAGGGAAATTATCATAATTCAAAACTATCATAACTCAAGGGACCAACGTACTCACGTAGGAAGGTTAGCTAAGCTATACTAACTGGTACCTTTCATAGTGAGAAATAATAGATGTTTTATAAACTCACATGGCTAAAATAAAACAGAAGATAAATATAGTAGTACTGCATATCTCAACCTACCACTGAAGCCCTCTTCAGTCTTCTGAAGAGACTCTCAGTGATAGGCCAAAATATACTGTAATATGGTGCTCTTATGTTTCAATTAATCCATGCAGGTTCATTTGTGTTTATTACACTTCTGTATAGTAATGCCTTTATATTCAACTTAATCTAATCAAACTTACCTAGCAACAATATCATAAAGTTTGTATGAAACTTCTTTGTAGCCATCAAAGTCATAGGGTATTGTTTGAAGGTTTGGACACAACTTAAGTGCTGGTCCAAGAAACATACCATTCTTCACACCAGCTTTACGTGCTTCATAGCTACAGGAGGCAATTTCTGACCATGAGCAGGTATCATCAATTAATTTCATTGTTGAAAACCTTCCATTAGATGCAGAGACCACTTCAATGACTCCTGTCATGTTCACCTCATTTTTATCATTTTCATCAATTTCTGGAACAACTTTAACTAATTTGGTAGAATTCACTGGGTGTATTTTTGCTTGAAGTCGTTTTTTGGCTCGTTCCTTATAGTAATTCAATTCATATTGTGCATCCACCCCTTCCCTTACACTAGACCTAGGATTGCCTCGCACATGCGTCACAGCTATAGGTTTGCCAAGCAACTCTGGATGCTTACGTAGACCCACAGACACAAAAAAACAATCCATGTCAATATGCATAACTGTTCGTTTACTTTTTTTCTTTGAAGCACCCACAGATGATGATCTTATTGCAGAATCACCAGGCAAACATTTCTCTTCATTATTTTTTACCCATTTCATTAAGCCTTCCCTGCCAGTAAAGCCCTTATTTTGACTCTGAAGTTCATTTACATACTGTTTAAACATAGCCCCCATTGTTGAAATATGATGAAGCCTAGAATTGTTATAGAATTCAGAGAGAAATCTTGGGTTTGCAGTACTCATAGATTGAACTTTTGTTGGGCTGTAATTCTGTCTACCTGCAGTGCTTAAACCATGACATGACAGCCCATCTAACTTTCTTTTATCACTTATATGTGTCTCAAAACCATTTTTATCTTGAGCTGCTACATCTGATTTGGTTTTATTTAAGTTCAGATTTACATGTAAATTTAGAGATTCTTCTATTGGTGAACCTGTGTATATTTTCTGATGAGCAACAGCATCAGGTGAAGATGAATTTTTTTCTGAGGTACATGTAGTGGGGGAATTTCTATAACTAGCTTCACTCTTCTCATGTGGTAAGGATAATGGCTTAAAAGGTAGCTTGGGCTGACTTTTGGACTGATTAGTATAAAGAATATACTTAGTGTAGTCCAATAGATGTCCAGCTTCCAGTGAATCTATAACCCACTTTGGACTTACAATCTTATCTGTGTTCATGTTCTTTATTTTAGTATCTGGAAGGTTGTTGGCAATGATGTGAGTGGTCTTGCTTCGAGAGAAGTAATGGTGATAAGTGCCGCCATTGGTCATCATTATACGCTTCAGCTCTTCAGCTGTTGGTTCTGCAAAATGTCACATATTAAAAGGCAATATATATTTATGAAACAAATGTTTACTGCAAAGATATTTATATTAAGAACAATACCAAATTTTCCTCACTTATTTAACCAAAAAAAAAAAAATTCTGAATGAGACATGTGTAACCTAATTTGTTGCAGCTGATATTATTGTACTTGTGGCAAAAACAAAAAATAAAAAGTTGGTGTCTTTAACTAATGGATGATAAAATACAAAAACCATGCAAGGTAAATGCCAATAACAAAAGAATAATCAACTACATAAATAAATGCTTCTAATTTTAATGCCTTGTATGAATAGAATGATTCTGAAAATATTATACTCTACATTATATTAACAAATTAAATTGATGCCAGCACTTTTGTTGTACAGGAGAAACAATACATGTGAGATACACATGTACAGTGGACCCCCGCATAGCGAACTTAATCCGTGCAAGAGGGCTGGTCGTTATGCGAAATGTTCGCTATGCGAATTAATTTTCCCCATAAGAAATAATGGAAATAAAATTAATCCGTGCAAGACACCCAAAAGTATGAAAAAAAATTTTTTTTTACCACAAAAAAATGTTAATTTTAGTACACACAAACTGAAAAAGGCATGCACAATTACATGACACTTACTTTTATTGAAGATCTGGTGATGATTGATGGGATGGGAGGAGGGGAGAGAGAGTGTTAGTGTTTAGAAGGGGAATCCCCTTCCATTAGGACTTGAGGTAGCAAGTCCTTTTCTGGGGTTACTTCCCTTCTTCTTTAATGCCACTAGGACCAGCTTCAGAGTCACTGGACTTCTTTCGCACAACATATCTGTCCATAGTGGCCTGTACCTCTCGTTCCTTTATGATTTGTCTAAAGTGGTTCACAACAGTGTCATTGTAACAGTCACCACAGGCTTGCAAAGGGGTTTTGGGGGGGATTTTAAACAAAAAAGGTTTTGCACTTAAACCATTTTGCCCCATTTCCTTAATCTTTAAGTAGGAAATTCCTTCAATTTCTCTCTCCCTCCTTTGAACCAGTTTCCCCATCGGGCCTCTGCCTTGAAGTTGATCTACACTCACGTGGTTAGTTTTTCATTGCCCTCCTCCCCCAAACTCTTCACACCCCCCACTAACCCCCAAACCCCCAAAGGATTTTTCCCCCAATTCCACAATTGATTCCTCAACTGGTAACTACTCCTCTCGGGGTTAGCCTCAAACCCTTCAAAACCCTTTTGTCACACATTCGGGCCACAGTTTTTTCCAAGCAGAGTTAAAGGTTCTTTGCACTCCCCCAGCCTTACCAAAAGGGTTTACACCAACTGAGGATTTAAAGTGACCTTTCCAAAACTTTTTTAGAGTCAATCCTGTCTGTGGTCCTTCAAACCTTTGAAACAGACTTTTGTGTACATTTTCTGAATTTGGAAATGACCTGCGGTCCAGGGCTGCAGGAGAGGAGTGGTATTAGGAGGCAAAAACTTTACCTTAAGAAGCTCATTCCCCCTAAAGTCGCTCTGCCACACGTAGGATGACCAGGGGCATTGTCTAACACCCGGAGGCACTTTAAGGGCAATTTCTTTTCAGTTAGGGAATCTTCACATTGGGGGGAAATGCATGGGGGTAACCATTTTAGAAAAATCCCTAGGACCCATGCCTTACGTTTGCCCCCCCACAGCACACACAAATTTTCCTTGAGGATATTTTTGCCGAAAAGCTCTGGGGGTTTCAGAGTGATACACAATAAAGGCTTAACTTTGCAATCACCCCTAGCTTGGACACACAACAAAGTAAGCCTGTCTTTCAAGCTTTTCCGGGGGGTGCCTTTCCTCCTGAGTAATTAGGTCCTCTTGGGATTTCTTCCAGAAAAGGGGCCTTTCATCACAATTAAACACTTGTTCAGGTTCCAGTCCTTCATTTCTAGTACTCCTTGAATTCATGCACATATTTTTCAGCCCTTTGTGGGCCGAACTGGCACCTCACCCTGCCGTACACACAGGAGCCACTACGCTTCTTAAAACTCTCAAACCAACCCTTTCGGCCTTAAATTCCCACATCATCACTAGTTGCAGGCATTTTTTTAATTAAATCGCCCATGAAAACTTCCTAGCCTTTTCACATATGATCGCTTGAGAGACGCTATCTCCTGCTAGCTGTTTTTCATTTATCCACACCAATAAGAGTCTCTCAACATCTTCCATCACTTGCGATTTTTTGTTTCGAAAACACAGTTAAACCTTTGGCAACAACAGCTTCCTTGATTGCCGTTTCTTGCCCACAATAGAAGCGATGGTTGATTTTGGTTTCTTGTACAACCTGCCAGGTCGGTGATACGTACTCCACTTTCATACTTATCAATGATCTCTTTCTTAATTTCAATGGTTATTCTTACCCTTTGAGGTGTAGGTTTGGCACTAGAACTTTCTTGGGGCCCATGGTCACTTATTTCCACAAACAGCACCGAAAACACTGTAATAATACGAAATATTCCGAGTGTATGCTTGAATGTTACCGCGGAGGCTGGCTGGTAAACAATGGGACGGGCGGCACATGTGAGGCTGGCTGAGGGCGCACATTGGACGCGTCTCGGACGAAGGTCGCTGAGCGGGTTTTTGTCCACTATGCGGGGCAAAATTTTAGCAAACAAAGCGTTCGCTATGCGGATTGTTCGCTATGCAAGGCGTTCGCTATGCGGGGGTCCACTGTATATGATAGATTATACTGTATATCCACATTCATGCACAGTACATTAACTCTGCAGATGTACCTTGCCTCTTATGTATGGAGCAATATAGAGTATAATAAGCTTTTTGTTGAGTAGTCATAAAATGTATTAAAAATGGGATACTACAATTTTTAATTTAAGAATATATTGAGTAAATGTAAAAAAAAAATTAACTTTCAATTAAGGTTCGTAATGGCCAGATGTAGAATGTATCATTCATAACAAGCTGGTAACAACTTAAGTGGAACTAAGACAATGTGTATCTTCATTACTGAGGACTTACCTAGCCACAATTCTAACTTATGATCTTTTTTGCAGATAAATTTAATTTAGGATAAATGATCATTCAATCAGGGATCATTCTGAAAAATCAAGCCCTTGGCAATAAAAATTATGTACATAAAAAAATAAATAGACAAAATCCTATTTTTTTCATAGTAAGGATAATTTATAGTACAGTGGACCCTCGGTTATCAGCTGTAATCCGTTCCAGAAGGCCAGCCTAAAAACCGAAATGGTAGATAACCAAAATAATTATTCCCTTAAAAATTAATGTAAATACAATTAATCTGTTCCAGACACCCAAAAATATTCACAAATAATACATTTTTTAGAGATTAATTATAGTTTTACATGCACAAAACAATGAGAACTAAATAAAATAAATACATGAACAATTAAATCAGTATTACATACCTTTATTGAAGACTGCTGCTGGCTTATGGAAGATAGGGAGGAGCATTCATTGTTTACAAGAAGAATCCCCCTCCATAAGGACTTCAGGTATCAAAGCCCTATCTGGGGTTACTTCCCTTCTTTGTCTTTTAATACCACTAGGACCAGCTTGAGAGTCACTGGACCCCTGTCGCACAAAATATCTGTCTAGAGAGCTGTTTCTGGCGTCTCCTTAAGATTTCCCTGAAGTGGGACAAGGTTCTGTCACTGAACCTGTTGCAGATGTAGCTTGTTTCAGCTTGGTCAGGGTGATATTTCTCAACAAAAGCTTGCACCCTAGTCCACAATGCACAAATCTCCTTAATCTCTGAAGAAGGCACCTCCTTCACTCCTCCTTCCCCCTCCTCTGAACCACATTCCTGAGCTGTGGTCTGTTGCTGTTCCAGATGAAGCTCTTGCTGCTCTTCAGTGGTTAGCTCTTCCCTGTGGTCCTCCACCAACTCCTCCACATCCTCATCACTAACCTCCAACCCCATGGACTTGCCCAGAGATACAATGGCTTCCACAACAGGCGTAGGGTCCTCAGGGTCAGCCCCAAACCCTTCAGAATCCCTCTCTTGGGCACATTTTGGCCACAATTTTCTCCAAGCAGAGTTCAAAGTCCTGGAAGTCACTCCCTCCCAAGCCTTACCTATAAGGTTTATGCAATGGAGGATACTGAATTGATCCCTCCAGAATGTTCTTAGGGACAAATCTGTGTTCAAGGTCACTTCAAAGCACCTTTGAAACACTGCTTTGGTGTACAGTCTTTTGAAGTTAGAAATGACCTGCTGGTCCATGGGCTGGATGATAGGAGTGGTGTTAGGAGGCAAGAACTTCACCGTGATGAAACGGAATTCCACAGACAATAGGTCTACCAAGTTTGGAGGATGAGCAGGAGCATTGCCCAGTACCAGGAGGCACTTGAGTGGCAATTTATGTTCCAGGAGGTATTTTTTCACACACGCTAAACACATCATTCACCCACTCTTTAAAAAGTTGCCTTGTGACCCATGCATTATTGTCAGCCCTCCACATCACACACAATTTATTCCTGAAAACACTGTGTTTCTCGAACACTCTGGGATTTTCAGAGTGATACACGAATAAAGGCTTCACTTTGAAATCCCCAGTAGCATTAACACAACAAAAGAGTAAGCCTGTCTTTCATAGGCTTGTGTCCTGGCAGGGCCTTTTCCTCCTGCATAATGTAGGTCCTCTTTGGCATTTTCTTCCAAAACAGTCCTGTTTCGTCACAAATGAACACTTGTTGGGGAGGAATCCTTTAGCCTCTATGTACCCCTTGAAATCTTGCACAAATTTTTCAGCTGCACATTATCAGAACTTGCAGCCTCTCCATGCCTTACTGCACTGTGTATGCCACTACGCTTCTTAAATCTCTCAAACCAGCCTTTGCTGGCCCTAAATTCACTAACAGCAGCACTTGTTCCAGGCATTTTATTTACAAGATCTGCATACAACTGCTTTGCCCTCTCACAAATCACTGACTCCACAACACTATCTCCCACTAATTGTTTTTCCTTGATCCACAACAATAACAACTTTTCCAT